CAGTTTCTAGGGGATTCTTCCTTAAATACCCAATGCATGTATGGCTCTCTGTATACATAGCTATATGCCCACAGGTCCTATAAGCCTCTATCTACCGACAGAGGGGGAATTTTCTCCCCCCGGCATTCATCTGCTAGGGAGGCCATAACAAAAGACCGCAGACAGGGTGGCTCAGACAACAGAAGTTTATTTCTTACTGTTCTGGAGGCTGGAAGTCCGAGATCATGGTGCTGGCAGGGTTGGGTCTCCTGAGGCCTCTCTCGTGGGCTCGAGGACTGCTACCCCCTCAGGGCGTCCTCACATGGCCTTCCCGCTGTGTCTACACTCCCGTGTCTCTTCCTTGTTTTATAAGGACACCAGTCCCTTTGGATTAGACTCCTGCCCTCATGGCCTGATTTAATCTTAATTACCCCCTTGAAGGCCCTTTCTGCAAATGCAGCTGCTTTTGGGGTTGGAGCTTCACAAATGAATTTTGGGGAACACAATTCAGTCTATAACACACACACCCCCCAAAAAACCAACAACCGGTAGCACACCATACTCAGTATTTCACTCTCAGCTTTTTTCACTCTATCATGAGTATTGGGAAGTCTTTTTTCAAAAACATTTTTTTATTGATTTCAGAGAGGAAGGGAGAGGGAGAGAGAGAGAGAAACATCAATGATGAGAGAGAATCATGGATTGGATGCCTCCTGCAGCCCCCCTACTGGGGATCGAGCCTGCAACTTGGGCATGTGCCCTGACCGGGAAACGAACCATGACCTCCAGGTTCATAGGTCGATGCTCAACCACTGAGCCACGCCAGCCGGGCAAGAGCAACATTCTTTTCATCAGCTGCACAGTTTCCCATGACGGAGGTACCATCACCCAGTCCTCTAATGAGGGACATTTGCATGGTTTTCGACCTTTTCCCAGGGCCCAAAACGCGGCAGTAGGTGGAGCGGTACCTACGTCATTCCCCACACATGCGGGCATCTTGCAGCATGAGTGACCGGGGAGTGGAAGACGGGGTTCGACATTCACAGGGACCGCCACTAGCCCTTCGAGAGCTTCTGCTTTTTTTTTTTTAATATATTTTATTGATTTTTTACAGAGAGGAAGGGAGAGAGATAGAGAGCTAGAAACATCGATGAGAGAGAAACATCGATCAGCCGCCTCCCGCACATCTCCCACTGGGGATGTGCCCGCAACCCAGGCACATGCCCTTGACCGGAATCGAACCCGGGACCCCCCAGTCCGCAGGCCGACGCTCCATCCACCGAGCCAAACCGGCTTCGGCGAGAGAGCTTCTGCTTTGTGTTGGAGTTCCCGATATGGCTACTTTCTGTTTAGTCTGCTGTTTGGGTTTGCTTTTCTGTTTGGCCCAGGGTTTTGTGAAAGACAGCGTTTTAAAATATCCAGGTGGTAAGGTGTTTTGTTCTATTTTCCGCACCATTTAATTTTGAGTTATCCTGTGTGGTGATTTAGGAATTTGTTGAGGCTGTCCTTGTGGTCCATGTGAATCTTATTTTAAAATATAGCGCCCTTGACCGAAATCAAACCCAGGACCCTTCAGTCCGCAGGCCAATGTCTATCCACTGAGCCAAACCCGCTCATTATTAAGATAACGAAAACGGGGAAGAACGCAGCCTTCTTGACGCCTCGGCTTCTCAAGGTGCCCTCGCTCTCCCTCCAGGAAGGACGCCGTGGCCGTCGTGGGCATCGCGAGGATGAACGCCTCGGTGGTGTCTCACGAAGAGTTCCTGGTCAACACCATCATCCTCCACGAGGACTTTGATAACAAGACGATGACCAATGACTTAGCCCTCCTGAAGACAGACACGGCCATGCGGTTCACCAGCCTGGTGCAGCCCATCTGCTTCCTGGGCCGGAAGCTGTACATGCCGCTGGCCTCGCGCAACTGCTGGGTGGCCGGCTGGAACCCCACGTTTGCAGTTATGCCTTCCTTCTCCTGGCGGAGGCTGAGTGTGCTGGCAGTAGGGGGACTTGGATGAACCATTCTAGCGCTTATCTTTTTTACAAAAAAATAATACTTTTATTGATTTCAGGGAGGAAGGGAGAGGGAGAGAGAGAGAGAAACATCCATGATGAGAGAGAACCATTGATTGGCTGCCTCCTGCACGTCCCACACTGGGGATCGAGCCTGCAACCCTGGTATGTGCCCCGACGGAAATTGAAAGGTGACCTGCTGGTTCATAGGTCGACACTCAACCACGGAGCCACGTGGGTCGGGCTAGGGCTTATCTTAAGAATGCAGGTGGCTCGAGGTTCTAGAGTCGGGCTGGAACCCACAGCTAATCAGTCAAGGTTCCCAGTGCTTGCCCTTTCTCTGGCCATTCTTACTAGTACATTCGGTCCTTTTTCCTTCTAGTCCTACATACACCACAATCGCAAGTACATAGGCAGCTGGCAACCTGAAATCAGCGCGAGTTACAGGGGGGCCAGGGACACTGCTCCCCGAACCAGAGTGAACTGTCCTCTTGTCTAAGCCATCCTTGTTTTCTGGGGAAGTAAACAGGGAAATGTACTCTCTGTAGATGTTGAAAAAGGATATATGTAAATATGTTCTCTGCCTATATTCACCTTCAAGTTGAAAGCATAAGTAGTTTCCAGTAAAAATCTCAGCCCCGGGCCCCGATGTCTAGGAGGAAAGGGGGTTGATCCGCACGGTGTCTGCTCACCCCCACCTGGACGTGTGAGTCGTAGTTGCGGTGGCTGCGGGGGTTGTCTTCTTGTTGATAACTCTCGGGCTCTCTGTTGCATGGTGCAGACGGGAGAGCAAATGACGATGAGTATCCTGAGGAAAATCTCCGTGCAAGACACCGACCTGTGCCCCTTATACAAGTTCCAGAACACAGGATGTGGCAGCCACGTGGAGCAGGAGACGGATACTGTCTGCTTGGTAAGACATGGCGGACTCGCCCTGGCCGGTGCTCAGTGGTTAGAGCACTGGCTGGCGGACTGAAGGGGTTGTGGGTTCGATTCCTGGTCAAGGGTATGTACCTCGGTTGCAGGTTCGATCCCCAGCCCAGGTCAGTGCGTGTGTGGGAAGCAGCCAATCGATGTCTCTCTTTTACATCGATGTTTCTCTCCCTCTCTGTCTCTCCATCTCTCTCTCCTGCTCTCCCTCCTTCTCTCACTCCCCCTTCTCCCTCCCTTCCACTCTCTCTAAAAAATCAATAGAAAAATATCCTGGGGTGAGGATTAACAAAAAAAAAGAACACGATGGAGCAGAAGCTCAATGCAGAGAGGAATCGTGTCACTTCCAGAGATGGGGATCCCCGAGGCAGGGACTGTTACTTGAGACTCATGGCTGTCGGGACTGACTGTGTGGGCCGGCATTGGCGGAGAGCAAGTGCTCAATAAAACGCCTGCAGAATGGACCCCCCCCCGTCAGTGGAACACGATCAGGCAATTCCACTTTCAAACCTAGGTAACTGGCCAGGGTCACCTTGCTAGCCAAGTGTGCCAAGCTCCCACCCACACACCTGGTGAGAGAGAGGTCAGTGTGGCAGAATGCCCGTGGCCTCACGACCACTCCCACAGGAGCAGGGAATGCCGGGAGCACGCGCAGGGACCGGCAGCTGCCCAGGCGACCCTAGTCCAGCGTGACCCTGGCCCTCGCAGGACTCTGGGCGGGAGCGAGCAGCTTCAATGTGGGATGGAAACAAAAGAGAGAGGAGAGGGGGGACAGGTGACCATTCCAGGCCAGAAAGGAAAGGAATGTCAACATTCGAGGCATGAAAAACCAAAAGAGGGATTCAGTCCAAGTACTGAAAAGGGGCAAGACAATGAAAGGCGAACCAGGAAGCTACAGGCAGAGTGCAGAAGTCGACAGATAAATTTGTACAATGAAAGGAAGAGTCGTCATGTTGAGATTTGTGGCGGTGGCTGCCCAGATTGGAGAGAGTACCCTATCATCTGCCCCATTTCCAGCGAGAACCGGTGTAGAACATTTCTGGAGCAAACCGTAAATTGCACAAGGATGTATTAACAATGAAAAGTTCTTTCAGCCCGGCCGGCGTGGCTCAGTGGTTGAGCATCAATCTATGAACCAGGAGGTCACAGTTCGATTCCCGGTCAGGGTACATGCCCAGGTTGCGGGCTCGATCCCCAGTGTGGGGCATGCAGGAGGCAGCCGATCCATGATTCTCTCTCATCGTTACGGTTTCTATCTCTCTCTTCCCCTCTCCCTTCCTCTCTGAAATCAATAAAGATATATTTTATTTTTATTTTTGGTGCCGAAACCCAGGAGCGAACCAAAAATATATTTTAAAAAAGAAAACAAAAATGTAAAGTTCTTTTAGACCTGAAGCCTTCTGTCCTTTGTCACAGGGGGACCCAGGAAACCCGCTCATGTGCCAGCTGCAGGGGCTGGACCTGTGGGTGCTGCGAGGAGTCCTGTCGCAGGGGGGCGAGAGGTGCCCTGGCCTCTTCCTGTACATCAAGGTGGAAGACTACGGCGACTGGATCACGTCCCAGACGCAGACGGACAGCCTTCTCCCCCTGTCCGTGTTCCACCACTACCACCCCCACCAGGAGAACGCGGCCCCTGCCCAGGGCCCCTCGGCACCCACCACGGGGATGCAGCTCCAAGAGCCAGCAAAGGTGACCATCTTCATGGACAGATCTCCGTGGCCGGGGAACGGCTCTTCCGAGGGCGTGGAACCCCGGGGGAAGGGCGTGAGGGAGTTGGACAGCTCCCCGGAGGAGGAGGAGGAGGCTCTGCCCGCGTACTATGACTATTACAGCCAGCAGGCCGGGCAGGGGGGGTCCATTTCGGGTCAGAACAGGTTGCATCAGCCCCAAGAAACGCTCTTGCTTTCCTCTGCGCTTGTTTTCTTTTGGAACGGTAGACAGTCTGGGAGCTAACCCTCCCCCACGCCCCCCACGGGAGAGTAGGCTCAGAATGCTGAGTG